GATTGTGGGGTGCCTGCTAGAGCCGAGGAGCCTCGCTCCTCCGAGCAGCGTGCCAAGGTTCCGGAACCTTGCATTCTGGGGGCGGGTGGTGAAATGCAAATGCTGTTGTAGGTTGCACAGTCACCAGCTGTTGTCACTCTTGATGAGTAGTCCCCTGAGAGGCTGGCAGCCTTGCGTCTTGTTAGCTTCGGGGAAAATTGCTCTGTTATTTTTGGCACAAATGCCAGAGGTCAGTATTTGTCCTCAAATAGCAAGAACAGGTTCTAACCCTTGGCCCCGCACGGTAGCCAGACAGAATAATGATTACACACACGTGGGCACGGCCCTGGGGTACGCTTACATGCGGGTCCCCTTTGTTCCTCGCAACAGGCCCCTGAACCAGAGAATACAAATGCCAAATATCCCCACTTTCCAGATGAGAGAACTAAAGCTTCTAGGCTAATCCATAGCAAGTGGCTAAGAAGTGGTAAAGCCAGGACAAAAACCTTTCCAGGCCCAGGCTTCCAAACTCCTGTACACTACCTCTCTCCCTCTCTCTCTATCTCTCCCTCGCTCTCTCGCTCTAATGAGACATCCAAGCAGGATGGACACAGTAAAATAACAACAATAAATGTTCAGGCCAGAGGAAGCTCTTGTCTCCAGACCGGTATGAGTCCTGCATTCTTGATCTCCTTTTCATTTCAAAAGACAGATATGAGATGATTAACTCTGATACAGAAAAACCCTTGGCTCCCCGAGAAAAAATATCTTTTTTATGAAAGGTCTTGAAGCAGGCATATCTGTCTTTTCCACCTTAAAATGCCACCAATCATCACCCTCTCTCGCAAACGAAGCCGGTTCAGGCATCCTCTTCACGTGGCAGATGACCTCAGGGGCGGGGGAGCCAGGGGCGGCCTCAGCAAACAGCAAACCACTTCAAAATGCGCAGCCCAGGAGACCGTGGCCAAAAAAGTATTAATAAAATGACTTGTCCAGGATCATAGGGCTTTGCAGCGGCCACAGGACTTGTGCACCACTCGCTGCCTCCCAGCACGAGGGCTGGGCAGGCAGGAGCCTCCAGATGAGGGTATTGGGAGGTGGGACTCCTGAATTTGCCAAACTTCCAGAGCCCCTTGGCCCCGTAACAAATTGTGCAATGTGATACTCAGATGCATTTGTGCATAAACATACTTAGAAATAAAGCTCAGGAAAGACAGTCAGACACAACAGGGGGAACCACAAAGAGCAGGTGATGCCCAGCACAGTTCTTACGGATGAATTTCGGGAGGACAAGGATAAAGTGGAATTTGGGGTGTCCAGGCAGAAAAAATAGCACTTCCCAAGGCAGGAAGGTACCAAACAGCCGTGGCTTGCACGTAGCTGTAGCTCCGGTGTGTGTGGAGGAGACAGGACCATCGGGCAATGGGCCCTGGGTGAAGGGGAGGCCGCATCCATGCTGGCTGGAGAAGAGCTGAAGGCTTCCAAGCAGGTCTGGTGTGTGTTTGAGGTAGAGACCCTGAGGCTATTTCAAGATAAACCTCAGTGCTGCCCGTGAGACGGAGCAGGTAGAGGCAAGTGGAGGTGACATTAATAGTCCCCTAAACAGGCCACAGCTAGGAAAGAGCAGATCCAAAATATGCAAACTATCAGGGGTGAGGAAGAAAGAGGAGGCAATGGGTAGCAGGAGTTGAATGGAGAGGTCCGGGCTGGATACACAAACTTGGGAGTCACCAGCCATTTGTGGAAATTAGGGACATTGCTGCAGATGAGAATATTTGAAGAAAGAACATAGAAATGGCAAATCTAGGAAACGCCAACACAGCACGGGGACTGCTGTGTAAGGAATCTCATCCAAATGGGCTCATGGGCCATGGTCCTCGAGATTTCTGGGAGGGTAGACTTTACTGATAAGGGAGGCGATGGGCTCGGTGCAAATTCCTTTCTTGCCATGTCACTCTCTTCGCTGGGCTTCAGCGCCATCAACTGCATCACTCTGGGGCTGGACTTGACAGTCTCTGAAAGAATCCCTTCCAGTTTTAATATGCTAGAACTCTAAATCTCTTCCCAGTAATGTAAATCCAACAACCAGGACATTTACTGTGGAGGAAACTCTTGGCTTTAGAATAAGGAGGAGAGCTTGCTTGGGACCAAGAATGGAATGTAAATGCTTTATCGGGTACACACGCTGTGTAATTGCAAACATCAACTTTCTGATAATGAGGGAAGGACATAAGGCGTTTAAAGACATCCAATAGAATGACTACACTACTTACACAAAAACATATGTCATGATTCCCACCATAAGTTGTGATATAGATGAGTCAGTCTGGGAGAGCTAAATTTAGAATTTTTAAGGGCCCCTCCCCCCTCGATGTCAGAAGATTCCATTTAACTCCAGGGAAGAGGAAAATGCTGATCCGGGCAGTATCTGCCATCTCTAGGGCTAGGATATCCTGCACATCTGAATAACAGTAGCTACAAGGACCACCCCAGGGCAAGGACTTGGGGCCAAAATGTTGCAGGGTCCTTAGGGGGCACAAGAGGTAAGGTGGTAGCACACACACAAGGAAGCAGACAACCTTGACCGTGCTTCTTCAGGATCATATCCTGCCTGGAATCTGGGTGCCTGTGGTTTGGGGGGGTCTCACTGCGGATGCCATCAGAGGAAGGCCAAGAAGGAAAGGTCAGCGAACCAGCGTGAGGACGGACAGAACATGTGCCCAGATAACAGAGAACCGAGTCACAGACCAGGACACATGGGGACTCGGTGCAGCTGGAGGGACCGAGACAGCAGAGCTAGGCTGAGAGGTGACGCTGGGAGCCAATGACAGAGCAAACCAAGACAGAAGGAGGCTCCCACCCATCAAGGACAAATTCCACTGAGTTCCTGCCATGGGGTGGCTTTTATGCCTGAATGGTCACAACTCGCTGAGGTGGGCCAGTAAGCAGCCACGGTGCACACTGGCGTGGACAGGGTTGCTGTGACAAGTCCCTCTCTGCCTGTCTTCTCTGCCTCTCCTACACGCCACCCTCAGCCCCTCCCCTGGCCCGCACCGTGCTGTCTCTCTGCGTCTCGATACGAGCCATGTGGTAGCTAAATACCATGGGCGCAGCGCCACAGCCAGCAGGCTGGCAGATAGCAGTTCCTTAGCTCCTTCTGTTCCCAGGGGCAATTATTAGTTTAAGTAAGAGGCGGTGTCCCGATTTCACTGTTACGAATGCAGGGCTTGTGGAAACCAAGGGCACTTGCAACGTACAAAGTCGCCTGTTGCCACCCTTTTGGTTTGGGAAGAGCGCCACGAGGGGGATGAATAACGGTTTCGCCAACTGCGCTGCGACACCCCAGCCATGACACGCCAACTCAGGTGCCAGCCGGGCTGCTGTGACACGCCTGCCACTGTGCTGGGGCCGTGGGGGGAGAGTAAATGCCACCCTGGGCTTCTCAGAACTAAACTTTTGATGATAGAGGAGCTGGAGCACGACAGTGTGAGAGCAAGAGTGAGTGACATAACGATTACCGGTGACGGAGCGCTAAGGCTGCTTATAAATAAAAGGTCAGAGGAAGAAAGACAACAGCATAAAATAACAACACACCATTTTTTGCCTATCAATGAGGCAAAGATTGGTGGGGGAAAGCACTAATGCCATTGGCAAGTGGACAAGAACATGAGGAAGGGTACACTTCTATACACTGTCGGACATAAACGTTGTGGGACAACTGAACACTGTGTCAGCATTTTTAGCATTTACACTTTACGCCCAAGCCATACCTAACCTTGGGATTTATGCTCAGAAAGTAACAGACAAGTACACAATGATATAAGTTCAAAGATGCTCATTACAGTATTTTATAAAATAGTGAAAAATTCAAACTTAATTAAATGGGGTCTGGTTAAGGAAACTGTGGCATAACCCGTGATGAATGCTATGCAGTCAATAAAAAAATGATGATGTATTCTACCATTCCTGACATAGAAAGATGTATCATATGGTGTTAAGTGAAAAAGTCACTTAGACAATATTGTATGTATCATGTAGATATCTATATCTATAAAAATGGGATCGTATTTCCATATCTGTAAATATTTGCAGGTAGAGAAATGGGCCTTGAAAGTGTTCACCAAAATTCAACAGTGATTTCCTCTGGGCATGTCACTATGAGAGAAATGTATTTCCATATTTATAATTTTTCAATATTTTCTTAGATATTTTCTTTGTATCTAATGAGCATGTTTTGGTTTCACAATCAGAAAAACAAGGCTGTAAAAAAAGTAAAATAATAACGGGCAATGTTTCAGTTACTACATATGTTAAGAACCCAAGGAAGCTAAAGAACCCCAAAGAAATCTGAAGACATTAAAGAGAACTGTTCAATAGAGATGGCCATTATTCTTAATAGCTCCAAAGTCATTTTTAATTAGGACAGATTGAATTTCTGTAGGTATTATTCTGGCTCTCAGACTCAGTGGGTTATAACCTATATCCCAGTTGAAACAAAATGTTTTCAGCCCAAAATAGATAAGGTTATAAACCCATCAAAACTGATGACTTTCAAAAGACTCCATGAACCCAAAAAGTAAGACAAAGAAAGATGTACAAAATCCACTTCGATTTTTGGAAAAAAGAAACCAAATGACTACAAAAATATCAGCTCCAAAAATACCAAGAAAGCTTCTACAGGGAAAAACAGAGAGCAAAAAAAAATTGGCATATGGATGTCAAAAATCCAGTGTCAAAGAGGTTTTGAAAACTGGTCGTGCGTCACCAATTATATATATCCAAGATCAGTGTGACAGACATTTATTTCCAAGAGCAATGGGAAGTTTTTTAATGCCCTAAAAATCTCTTTTCAGTGACTGATAATACAGCTATAATGTGAGATTTTTTTTATTCATTTAATTATTGGAAACCAAATTCTGACCTAGAAAAAAGAAGGAAGAGAGATACACCTATAAGTAACCCCCTATATCAGTTCATATCTAAGACTTTTAATACATAATTGTCTTTCTTCTCACCTCCAGGAGAAGCACAAAGAAGAAACTACAGCAATGGCCAAGTTGACAGAATCCATGAGTGAGTAGCTTAAAATTTATTATATATTTTTGGTTTTGAATGGAAAAACACAAAATTGAGCAAGAAACGCATCCCCTTATGACGATCTGATTTGTCCTCCTCTTTCATTCTTATGATAACCCGGGTGTATTTAGCATATATTGCATTGTTGATGTTACTTTATGTGTTATTCAAAATTCATTCTGCTTGGGATCAAATTCTGTGCTGAAGCTGTTACCCACAGTGTGGACTTGAAGAATCAAAATAGGTTTTATGTGTAGCACCGCACTGGGGATTGGGACCCAAAAAACTTCAACCTGACTTTTAGGAGATTTAGTCAAAGTGAGCTGAAGTTTCCTGTACATATATTCTATGGGTTGCATGATCTAAGGAAGGGAAAGAATGACGAGTTGTTGTTAAACCTTTTAGGTGTAGTTCAGAAATTGCAGACAGAACTATTAAAAATGGATTGCTGAAGGTATACGTAGCTTGTAATGATTTAACTTTTTTTTTTTTTTAAGACTAGTCAAGTGCAGTAGTGAGGAGGGGGGAAAGTAGTAGAACAAGGAGTTCAATCTGTAACTGACTGTGAACAATCACGTGAGATAACTCACTACCTTCGGACCAGCCTGATTTAACTTTTGAATATGTCAATGTTAAAATGCTCTGCATTCTTCAGCTAAATAAACAGAATACACAAAGCATGTTTAAAAGAAAAGGGGAATTAATTATAATAAGTCCTTCTGCAAATGAGAAATGCAATTTTCTATGTTGAGGTTTAAATATTAAAGACCATATGGATATGAAATAAACAGACAAGAAATATTTTTTTTCCTTTGAAAAATAAAAATTGCTCCTGGTGAAAGATTTCATATGTAAAGTTACAAGGGAGGCTTACCAACCCTTCTCCACTATCATTAGGACCATGAACATCTAATCAAATTTGGCCTGCAAAATTAACCATTAATCTTGCCTACATTTAACTGTGCCCCGGCTTCCTTCCACTATTCCTCATGTCATGAGACTGTTAAATACGAGTGCTTCTCTGCAGCGTGGTCAATGAACCTTTATCCCTAAACATCCACCCTCACCAAGAAAAGATAATGTCAAAAAGTTCTTTACATCACATTCTTTAATTCCTGACCTCAATCCTCTGCCTAATTTTACATAAGTCTGAACACCTGCTCATTTCGCCACGTGAACGATGACTAGAAGGGCCCAGGTAGAGAACTGATCCTCTTCTGCGCTTACACTCCTCTGTTCTGCTCTACCTTCTGTGTCACCGCCTGCCCTCCTCTCTGCTCCATCCTTCTTTTTTTCTGCCTCTAGTCTTGCTGTCTGAAAAGTGTTAAAAGGGTCTACCAGTTGGTTTGAGGAAACCCAGACCGATTCTCTGTAAGTGAAGCCATCTTGAAGTCGCGGAAGGTGCTGTCTCAAACCGGGAATGGAACGGTGAGGTTACCAGGACCGTCCAAAAGGGACAAGCCTGTAATGTCATACACGGAGTGGAACTGTGGACGACACCAACTCGTTCACAATCCACGGCACAGGAGCAGGTTTAGTTCTGATCTCTAAGTCCAAAATCGCCAATGCAAGTGACCCACAGTTTCCCAGGGACAGAAAGACCAGTGGCTTAGAATCTAGCATCATTGTCCGTGAACTGAGTCTTGAGAGTGTGGGTGAGTCAGGATAGTGTTGTATGTGGGTCGTGATGCTGATAGTTTTTACAAGGCGTCTGTTAGACATTGATATTCTAGTTCAGTGAATATTACATTTTTGGCTCATCTAACTGAATTATAAAACATTAAGGGCACTGTACTGATCAATATTTCTGATAAAGGTATTTTCATTTTTCTGTCTCTATTGGATTCCAGATACATTTAAGTAAGAATTCTTCATCTGACGACTTATTGGTTGGTTTTAGGTTTCAGCTTTGCCTGGGCAATAATTCTAATGACTTTGGTCTAGCATCCCACTGTCGTAAGAGAATTCTATCAGAATTGAATTCCACATCCTTGGGTAGATGAAAGGGTACAGCTGTTCTTCTAATTTTGCTTTGTCTTTATGAAAAAGATTACATAGATATTTTGCAATGCCTAAGGAGATTTAAAGTTTGAGAACAGACTTTGGAATCATACCCAGTGTACCAGTTCACTGATCCTTACAAGGACGCAGAACATTATGAAATATATTAGATGAAAAGAAAAAAGAAATAAATAAATAAAATATATTAGGGGCAGTAATTCTTCTAGACTCTATGAAACGCTAATCACGTGGCAAATACACTAAACATTCCATTAAAGTTAAGTTCGTGAATAGTGAAATATACAATTACACATTTATTCTACATAGGAAATATACAAGGAAATAAATATGTGGTTATGTAAGGAGACTCTATCAGTAGGCTAAGCAAAGAATTAACATACAATTACCACACAGTAAAATGGATGGGAACATCAAATCCATGGCCACCGGTGGAAGAAACATAAACAGAAGCATGAATACCCAGAACACAGTGCTCTGAATGGGTTTCCAGAGCCAACATACACTGCTTGTTAAACTGCCAAGCAAGAACCATCTGGTTACTAGAACATCTCTATGTTGAACTAGAACTGGATAGCAATTCTACTGCCCTAGCTGTCCCTGCGTGATCAGTGGCTAAGCAAATGCCATAATGTAGAAGGGGCGTCTCCTTTGTCTTCCAGAGTAGGGTGAAGAGCTTTCCTTTCCATCGTGGGCCATTAATCAACAACCTCATAAAGATCAACGTCAGTCATTGCTTTAAAGAGCAAGCAAAAGACATGCAAATATTAACAGATTTTAAATTAAAAGCAACCTTATTTAATAAATATTTATTTAGTAAGTAAAAGATGATACTTTAAAATATTTCATGTCACATTATTGACATGAGGTGAGCCATGATAAGGATAAGGAAGGAAAAAACAGAGGAAGGCAGAAAAGCAGACAGGGAGGAAGAGAGAGAGAAAGAACGAAAACACGCTCAAGAAAAATATATAGGAAATACATATACAGTACACAGGAAAAGCCCCAGAGAGGGAGCTGTTATGGGAGAAAAAGGCAGAATCCTGAGGAATGAAGATGAGGCCAGTAGGCACAAGGGCAAGGGGGTCAGGAGAGCCCTCAGTGCAGACGGGTTCCATGGGCTTTCAAAATTAGCAAACCACACATGCCATTAACGGGCTGTGAACTTTCCTTTTTTATTATTTTATTTTCTTTCCTTTTTTTTTAAATTGCAGGATATTGCAGGGCTGCAAACATTTAGGTTACATATACTGCCTTTGCACGGCCCAAGCCAGACCTACAAACATGCCCGTCCCCCAGACAGTGCGCTCCGTACCCATTTAGTTATGAGTTTACCCATCCCCTCCACCCCCCCCACCTGCCCCGCACCTGAGGAATATTACTTCTGTGTCAGCACCTAAGTGTTGGTCAGTTAATACCAATTTGCTGGTGAGTACATGTGGTGCTTGTTTTTCCATTCTTGTGATACTTCGCCTAGTAGATGGGCTCCAGCTCTATCCAGGAGAACACAAGAGGTGCTAGCTCACCATTGTTTTTTAAGGTTGAGTAGAACTCCATGGTGTACATATACCACATTTTATTGATCCACTCATGTATTGAGGGGCACTCGGGTTGTTTCAATCTTCCAAAGGCCATCAGTTGTTTTTAACATCACCCTGTGAAATGATGATCTCTGTTTGCATCTTCAAAGGGGATATTTTCTTACTTGGACCACCAGAAACCCTGTTCCAAATGGGGTATTCAGAAATGCCCCCTGGGAGGAAGCTACTCTGAGCTTGCCCACTGACAACCAGCACTTTCCACCCACCCACAGAGTGACATCAAACTGAAAGCTTGATCCCAGTGGAGGCTCCCAGCGCTGTCTGCAAATAGACGTGTGGTGACCCAAACCGTGTGGTCCTCAGAGGTCGGTGGGCTGGTGGGCTCTGTCCTGGGCACTGTAATCTCAGTCAGATGGTGACAAATAGCAGGTGTCCAGAGGCATGCAGGTAGCCTGGGGGCTCTGGAATCCCAGTCTGTAGAGAGTTCCTCTGCAGGCTGTTCCTACATAAATCCCCATAGGTACTTTGCTTCGTGGTCATTGCCTGTGGATGCATGACAGACCCCTAACCTCAGAGCTCCTGGGAACGTGTCAAATACAGCACAGGAGCTCTCGCCGCATGGTTCCATTAATAATTTGTATTGTAATCAGAATCAGATATCTGGTCTCGTGCGTGGTGATGGCGTTGCAAGGGGGGTATGAGTAGGGGACTTGTCACCAATGCCCTCTCCAGGCTACATGGCCCCTTCCAGAGCGCCCCCACCCCCACCCACCCAGGGTTCTGCAGGTGACCCAGAGTCCCACTTCTGTCCCTTTCTCTGCACCAGTTACCTGTCTGCAGTGCACCGCTGCATCAGTAGGTGGGGGCCACTTGAGCCGCACGTGGCTCTCTGAATCTCGGCAGAAAGGAGCTGCCTTCCTGTTGCTTTCTGTCTCCATCTTGCCAGCCTCTCTCGGGCATGCCTGCCCCAAGCTTTTCCTTCGCTGGCCAGAGCATCCCTGGCAGCTGTCCTCATGAGTCATTCTGCCCATGACATCCCCTCCTGTGTGGTCCACCTTGATGTCACAACCTAACACATCCACATGGGAAAGAGAAGAGGAACTTGGCATCATTTTCAAATAAACAAGAGAGCACTAGCTTTATCTGAATAGCTCCAGGGGCTGAATGCTTACCCAGCTGTAGAGAGGCAAGTAGGCCACGGTTTCTTTCTCTGCCCAGAGCCAAGGACCTGCTCTGGGAGGTACTCAGAGGTTTTGGCTGTCTGCTTTGATATAGAGGGAATTCCTCCTGCTATTAAAGAAATGGATCAAATTTAGCATAGATTTGAAATTTTCTGGTGTCAAATGAAATGAAGACAGAGAACCAATTACAATCACTGCACATTAAATTAGCTCAATTAAAGCAGAGTGGTTTTTAATCATTTATTCCCTCTTTCATGGAGCAGTTATTATAACACTGGCGTCGTGTTAAGGCATAGAAAGACAAAAAGACAGGGTTGCTGCCTGCACCGTGTGCAGCATTTCAGGGCAAAGGAGGCAAGGGAGTAACAGCTATGGGCCCGAACATGCACTCCTGCAGAGGCAGCCTGCAAGTCACTGCAGCCGGAGGTGCATGCCTGCGAGCTGTCCTTTCACAGACCCCAGTGTGCTCCTGCATCTAAAAGACACCCCAAGGAAGAGCAGGGTTCCACCAGGCAGCTAATGAGGCTGTGAGTGCCAGGCCCAGGACAGGGGACCCCGCATGGGGGAGGACAGAGGTGTGGAGGAAGAGCAAAGCACTGGGCATCAGTAGGCAGCCTCAGATCATAACGGGGCTGGTGTGCAGCTTGGGGTTTTCCTGTGGGTCATGGGGAGGCACTTAAGGTTTTTAAGCAGATCGGCCCTTTAGAACAATCCCACTAAGACATCATGGGGTGGATTGCAGGCTGGGCAACAGTGGGCGGAAGTATACAGGAGGTAGGGCAGCAGATGAGCTGAGAGGCCCTGAGGGCCAGACAAGGGTGGACCCGAAATGCGTTAAAGAGGTGGTGACCCGTAGGATGTGGCGGAAGATGAGGAAGGACTTAGGGACGGAAGCTGCCCATGCTTGGAGCTTACAGGAGAGGCCTGGCCAGAGCTTCCAAGAGCCCCTGGGGCTGGAAATGCTGGCAGAATAAGGAGCCATATGAGGAGCTGATACAATGGGTTCAAGTTTGAGCATATTGAGTTTAGACTTTGTACAATGGTAGGTATAGGATTGAGTTGTTTAGAGTCATTTTTGGCCCACAGCCAGCATGACTTCAGGGAAATAATCCTCTACTACAGAGGTCCTCAAACTACGGCCCGCGGGCCACATGCGGCCCGCAGAGGACATTTATCCAGCCCGTCGGGTGTTTTTGCCGCCACTGCCTGTCCTGCTTAGCAGCCAACTCGTCCCGGGCCCACAGTGCGCATGTGTGGAATGTGCCCGCACTCTCCAACGGCCCTCCAACGGTCTGAGGGACAGTGAACTGGCCCCGTGTTTAAAAAGTTTGAGCACCCCTGCTCTACTATCTACGGTACAAATGGGGCTAAAACCTCCAAACAAGCTCCCCAGGTCCGATTGTGCGAGAACATAGGACACTTCCAAGTGAGGTGCTGCCTGTGGCAGTCTGCTTTTTAAAATAATGAAAAAAAAAAAAAAAAAGGAACTTGACTTAAAGTCAAACTCATTACTCTCGATACGCAGTTCCTGCCATTCTACACTTTAAATCATCATCTATTTGACACAGTTCATTTCTGATTATTATCTAAATGAGCTCTGCAATGAGAGCCAGCCTGGAAGCATTGCTAGGTCTCTCCTAGAGGCAGGACTGCCTTTAAAAGGAGGTTGCAGGTCCTCTTGAAGACCCCCAGGGACCCCATCACCCTCCGCTCTTTGGCAGAGTGCCTTCTACCTTTCCCTGCCACTGGGCACTTCTCTCTCCTCCATCCTCTCCCCAAAGCCTTTCTTCTCCTCTGCCTTCCTCTTCGATCGTTGCATGTAGCCTTGTGGGTGCCAGGTAGCCCTTTGACAGTTCCCCACCGCCCCTCCTTGAGCGTTTCCCAGGCTCCTTTGCCCCGGGACCATGTCCCCTCCTGCAGGTGAGCTGGTGCAGGTGAGCAGGTGAGCGACAGGGCTGGCCGCGGGTGCAGGGTTGGATTGGCCAACACAGACACCAACAGAGGCAGCCAGCCCCTTCCACCAGCGGTTCGGCCGTGTGCTTCAGGGTGTAGGTCCTGGAGGCCCCCCCTGGAGGCTGGCTCTGTCACTCTGCCTTGACCCTGGGAGGTACATAGTATCCCTCCACTGTCCCGGTCAGCTCACACTGGCCGGATGGGTCCTGCCTGCGTATTCCTCTCTGCGTATCGGCTCCTGGGCCGCCTGCAGGATGGGGAGGGAGGAACGGAGTGGGTCCCACACAATACATCACTTCAGTCCCACCTTCAGGCAGAAAAGCATCACTTGATAAAAAGCAAAAGAGAAGCCAGCATCTTCTAGTCTTCCTGGTCAGTGTTCCTCTGAAAAGCTGTTATTTTCTCCCCGAGGGGCACATGCTTGTCCTTACTGGAAAACTCCTTTTACACTCAGGAGAACTGCTTCCCGGCTGAGGTCACGGGCGTGTTCAGTGGCAGGCAGCCCAGCTCTGAGGCTGGGGGCATGAAATGGCCGGGCCACGCTCCGTGCAGGTGGCTCCGTGCCCTGCCCGCTCACCCTTCTCCACCAGCCACCTCCCTCGCGGTGGGGACTTTCTTGCTTCTGTGGTTTCTGTTTGCTGCTCCCTGCCCTCGCTGCCCGGGTCGCTCACCCTAGCGGCCAGCTCCAGCTGAAAATGCCTTTCTCTCTTCCTCACCGTCTCCAGAACTAGCGTGTGGTTAAAGCGCTTAACCGGTAAAAACACGCAGGGATGTGCAACGCAGCCAAATACGTGAGCAGATCTCAGGCTCGTCACGCCTGACGTTCGTAGACGTTATTGCTGGCCTCCACTCACACAGAAATGAGGCCAGGCCTGTTTTCTCAAACTCCTCCATTCCGTCCGCAGCCGTGGAGGTCCTGTTGACCTGACTCGGTGGGTGGGACACTCACCTCTCCGACACCTGCACGTTGGCTCTGGCACGAGGAAGATCTGGATGGAGGTTTCTCCACCTGGGCACCGTTGACAGCTGGGGGCTGGGCGATTCCTGCTGGGAAGTCCTGCACACTGCAGGCGGCTTAACAGAGCCTTGACCTCAAACCACCAGATGCCAATGTCACCCTCCCCCAGGTGTGATAACCAAATGTCTTCAGATATTGCTAAATTTGCCCTAGGAGGGCAAAGCCACCCCCACGGAAAGGTTGAGAATCACTGCTCTAGATGAAACCAGGAAGAGGGAGGGCCCAGCAGCCGTCAATCATTTATATTTCCACGGTGATGGTGGGATTTGCTAGTCAGCTGCAGGCCCTCCCCAGGCCCGTGATCTCTGGTATCAGTCCAGGCACAGCCTTGCACCTTCTGCTCACTTAGCTCAGGGATGGTCAACTGAACCACTCCCGGCGGACGCCAGGAGAGGGTGTCTGCTCGGCCGCCCGGCTCTGCAGACAGCAGACAGCCCCACCCTGGGTGCTTCTGTTCTGTTGACGGTGGCATCGAGGCTCGGTAAGATTGGGCAACTTCTCCAGCGTGATCATGTTCAGGAGGAGAGTTGGAAATTTCACTGCCAGGAGACTGGCAGAAACAGGAGAGCAGGAGAGTGGGCGGGCAGAGGAGGCAGGACCCTGGTTCTGGAGCAGAGCTTGCCATTTCTCCCAGGCGCTGCCGCAGGAGTGTCGTTCTTTCCAAAACAGCGGTTCATAGGACCTGCCCAGAGCATCCTCAGTAATGATGTTCTCACTCGTGTTGCCTTTCTGGCAATGTGGCAGCCCAGCTCTGGGGCAGCCACGTCCTCTCCGGCCTTCTTCACCTGCTTTCCGTTTCCCCCTTCCTCGGGGGCATCGATGCCTCCGAGTGGCATTTCACTCCAGTGTCTTTCCCTCTCGTGCAGGGTCACGGGGAGTTTGGTCCTCCCCCATTTCCCAGTCCTTTTTCAGAAGGTAATCACAGGCGAAGCAGCTGTTCCAGGCATGAGTCACCACGCCATGCCACCAGCCCAGCTTGGCGACTCAGAGGCAGACTGCCGCCACCATCCGCTGGGGCCACAGGCTCCCCCAATCTCTGCCTCTCTGCTCTGTCACCCCCCAGACCCCCACACCCTGCAGCGGGCTGTGCTCCCAGCTCCTCAGGCCCTCTTTCCAAGCCAGGGGGGTGCCCAGGTGACACCCAGGAGCCTCCCAGACCCCGTGCAGAGCCACCTCTGCAAAGCAGGGTCCAGCTCCCAAAGGGAGCATGAAACCCAGCCAGCCCCCAACCTGTGCCCCAGCCCAAAGTGCAAAAGTAAACAGACACATTTTTAAACTCTCTCGCCTCACATTCCTTCCACTCGCCTCCCCGCCTCCCACCAACTGCCACCCGTCTCACTGCGCCTGGCTGTCCTCCCCTCCCGCCTCCCACGAGCTGCCACCTGGCTCGGGAGCCTGCTCCGCCCTCCTCCCGCTGCTCCCTCCCTCCCCATCCTCCCATCAGCCTCTGGTAACAACAGGTTTCACCACGGCAGAGCAGAGGGCGAGAGTGACAGGGAGTCTCCTCTGGGATGACTCAGGCCCCGGGTCAGGCCGAGGGGGTGGACACTGGGGTGTCAGGCTTTCCCCTGCACCCCCAGAGAGCAGAGGGGACGGGACCTGCAGGCAAGTGACCATCTGGAAGAGATGCTCAGAGGTGTGGCAGCGAGAAAGGCCCTAGGTGCAGGTTCGGGCTAGACAGTGACTCTGCCAGGAAGTGTGGCCGATCCGACCCCAGCAGTGGCGAGCGTGTTTGGGAACGCTCTGGAGACATGTGAGCAGATGGTCGCGGGAGCAGCAGAGAACACTGCATTTTAAAGGCTCCAACTCCCCAGAGCGTGGCTGCAGGGGTGGGTAGGGGAGCGTTTCCCAGGCCAGGACTGATGCCGACACCTGGGGAGTGGTTTGCTTTGTACCTGGCGCCGCCCTCTTTGTCTCATGTTATATTCCCAGCGCAAGGGAATGGGTCTCCCCAGGGAATTTCCATCAATAATCCGCCACCCACTTGCTCCCTGGGGAAGGGCTGCGGTCTCCGCAGCTCCCAGCCTTGCTCTTCTTGCTGGTGACAGGTACATGAGTGGGACAGCCCACGGGCTCCCTGAATTCACCTGGGGAGGGAAGCAGGCTGGGGGGCACCCTGGCTTCCAGCGTGGGTGGATTAAAATCGGATGAAGGTGGATGCCGCGTGGATGCCGCCTCCTAGAGTGGCTTCACGAGAGGGGGGTCTGCAGTGCAAACACGGCCGCCTACGCTCCCTGTGCGCTTTCCTGCTTTGATGTCATCTTGCTCGCAAGCTATTAAATTTCAGGCTCAAAGGTGTTGGGGTGGGAGGTATCTTGATGTTTAAATATTGACTCTGCAGCCCAGAATTGCATTCATCAAGGTTTCTCCACAATTAGCAAAACATCCCTGATACCCGAGGAGGTTGCAGTCCTTACCAGGTGAGGCACGTTGGTGCAGTCATAAGAGGCAGACAGAGCCGGTCTCACAGCTGCCCAGCCACTTCCCAGCCGTGAGGCCGCAGGTCAATCCATAACCCCTCTCCTCTGAGCTTTGGCACCTGAGCAAAGCAGCTACCCAGCTGGCCTTTGATAATATGCATACAGCTAAAAGATACGTGTGCACCTGCTAATATGTATATTTATGTAAATAATATGTATAAATAATCACAATTGAATATTTATATGTTTATATCAACTAATAGGTATGTTGAAAGCTAATGTATATTTATATATTGAACACTAATGTATGATGCATATAAAATATTTCACATAGCAACTGGTCCTACATCAGGCACTCAAACAAAAGATCAAAAACAAAAACAGAAACAAAACATTATTGTTATCTTCTATATCTCATTTTGCTTACTATTCTCAAGCCCACTATAAGAATACTCATTCGTGTTGAGTTTGTGACCTCATATTAATACTGTATTCAACTCTCTTAAAGATCCAATGGCAGTCGACACTAAGAAAACTCTTGTTGACTGATACGTACTACAAGGTGTCCCAAAAGTCGCCATGCATAGGGAAAAATGGGAAATCGTAGCTAAACATACCACAATGAGTATTTTGTAAATAAAGGTGCATTTAGCTACAATTTCCCATTTTCCCTATGTATGGTGACTTTGGGGACACATTTGGGGATGTTAATATGGGGTGCTTGTTAGCTGTACTGCAAACACAAATGAGTCACTCACTCTGACGAGTAATACCGCAGCTCACTCTGAGCATTCGCCGTTGCCAGACAGCCCACCTGCGGGCCCCACGGCCAGACACCAGTGGTCTTTTCAGCCCCCCATGCAGGCGCTCCCCTCCCCGTACCCTACGCTCCCCTAGAACAAATGGGAAGATCGAGGGGGTTTGTTTCCTAGACTCGTCCAATCCAGCTCACAGAATTAAGAGAGATAAAGCATACTCTTGATTTCCTGAAGTCAAACCCAAAACAAACATTACTCCCTGACTGGTAGCTAGGGATTCTTTTCTTAGTAGGTATTTATTTAATTCAGATTCTAGCTGTCATCCCCACCCACAAGTGTCCAATGAAATCAAAGCAAAGAACCAGTGGATAGTGTGCCTTGACTCTTAAATAATCCCCTTCCCCAGATTGCTTTCTCCTGCATGTCGCTGAGTCCCTACACCACAGGGACAAGCCTTGGCAGTCCGTTTCCGACCGTATGTTGCCAACAAGAACATTCTGCATGAGACAATGGACAGGGAGAAACAAGTCTGGATTAAAAAAAAAAAAATTAACAATCCAGAATACGCTCTGCCCATGCATGTTCCTTACCATCTTTCCTTGGCTTTGACAAAAGGACAGGTTTCAGACGCGTCTCGAAGACTCTCCCACAGAGATTACTCCCCTAGCATCAAAAAGGGAAGAAATAATTTCGTTGAGTAAAGCAAGAATTGTGTTGCTCATTATTTTACGTGATTTTTCCCTGCATTCTCTTAAAAAACCTGATTTTTAAAAATAAATCATAAATGATTTAACCAAGTAATTAATAAGTAGTCGTCAGCAGGCACCGTGGCAGAGGGTGAGTTACACACAGGAGCCGTACCCTGAGGCTGACATGAGCAGGTAAACACCACTTCGGGCAAGACTAGAACTATCATAAGGAAGTAGATGATAAAATTCCAAGTGAGTGGGGTGCACCTGCAGACACCACCTTTTTTTTTTCCTTTTCTTTTTAACCGATACACATTATCAGATGAAGGTCACTGCACACCAACCCACTTCCTAGAGGAACCCCAACATTGTGCTGTAAGGTTAACTGCCTATTTTAGCTCCAATTTCTATATTGGAAAGACCCGATCATTAAAGGGATAACCTTAAAGTGGCTCATTGTAAAACAGAAAAGGAATTTCTCGCACATTTCTGTACTTGCTCATCATCGGCCCCACAGGGCCTGGACACCAAAGCTGAGATTTGGAAAGGGGGAGACCCCTTCTTGGGGGATGCAGGAAGACGGGGGGAAAGCTGCTCCTCGGAGGGTGGACAGGACCTCAATGAGGAGAGAAGAAGGGGACCGGGTCACTGCAAGTTAGGGGCGCCGTGGGGAGGGTAGGGGCAGCAGGCGGGGTGGGTGTCATCCTCTCAGGAAAAATGCAGGCAGGAGAGCACGTCGTGTGTCCGGAGGACAGTGGTCAGGACACTGTCACTAAAGCTGGACGTTAGGAGGAAGGAAATGGTAAGAGGAAGTCTGGCGTGGTGGGTGGGCCCAGATTGAGTGCAGTACTGAACACTAGACAAGCAGTGTGTGTGTTATCCTACAAACCAACGTTCCCCATAGTATGTTCCTAGAGAAATCAGTCCCATGACATCCGCAGAGTCGGCCTTTAAAAAGCAGGCTTGAGGAAGGGTATTGGGGATTCGACGACTTTAGGAAGCACTTACCTCTCCCCTGGCGTCCCCCAGTGACTGTTCCTGTAAGGAAGGTTTTGATGTCCCGCAGTAAAGAAATCTGATTACCTACTGCAGTAGCTTTAAAAATTGGTCTGCACAGTCCAGATCCTAATTCCTGGAACCTGTGACTGTTACCTGACATCAAAAAGAAGCATTCCTGGTTAGAGCTGGAACCCATACTACTAAGCGAAGTATCCCAAGAATGGAAAAACAAGCACCACATATACTCACCAGCAAACTGGTATTAGCTGAGCAGCACCTAAGTGGACACATAGGCACTACAGTAATAGGGTATTGGGCAGGTGGGAGGGGGAGGGGGCGGGTATAACATACATAATGAGTGAGATGCGCACCATCTGGGGGATGGTCATGCTGGAGACTCAGACTTGTGGGGGGAGGGGGGAAAGGACATTTATTGAAACCTTAAACCATAATATGCTGAAATTAAATAAATAAAAAAATTAAAAAAAGAAGAAGCAGGGAGGATATCTTAGCAAATGTAGTTAAGGATCTCAACTTGGAGAGATTATCAGTCTACATTACTCAGGTGGGCTCTACCTGCAATCACGTATATCCTCACACCAGGGAAGCAGAGAGAGATCTGACCACGCACAGGGAAGGAGGTGAGGTGAAGACAGAACACATTGAGATTTAGAGGCGCTGGCCTTGGAGACACGAGTGATAGGCCCACCAAGGCCAAGCACTGCCAGCAGCCACCAGACTCTGGAAGGGGCCAGAAGGGATCCTCCCCTAGAGCTGGGGAGGAAGCACAGCCCAATGACACCTTGAGTTCAGACTTTTCACCTCCAGAACTGTGAGAATAAATTCACCTTTGATGTCATTTCTTACAGCTGCCCTAGGAATTGAACACAAGGGGAGAGGTTGGTTGAATGATAGTTTTGCTTCAGAATTACATTTGTTTAATAGTTAAATATATATATATAGTGATAAAAATTACAAAAGTGTTAAATATGGCATTAAGAAGAGAAAGGATTTGGCCCGTAGATCCAGTGGATTTAAGCAAATTAGAATTTTGAATTTTCCTGACACATACCATCTTCTAAGTTAAGCGGAACAAAAATATGCATTATTGTGTGTCAAGAGCTCCCCCTTCCCCACTTTTTTAAAATTCATTAGTCCCTTTTTTCTCCCAGATTTATTGAGACATCATGGACAAATAAAACTGCATATATTTACTCTGTGCAGTGTGATGTTTGAATACATGTACACATCATGAAATGATTTAGTCACGCTAAGCACTTTGTCTATCACTTCACAAACATCATTTTTTGTCATGAGAATATTTAAGATCTACTCTCTAGCGATTTTCAAGTACAGATCTAGCAATTGTAGTACATTTGTACCATATCTAATTGCAGTTCCTCTAATCTGTACTAGATCTAATTGCGATAAATCTAGCAATTTGCAGATATACAATATGTCATTATTAACTACAGTCACCATGCAGTACAACAAATATCCAGAACTTATCTTTCCTATCTAACTGAAACTTCATACCCATTGACCACCATTTCCCCATCCCACCCCTCAGCCCTTGGCCACCACCATTCCACTCTGTGCTTCTATGAGTTTGATGTTTTTAGATTCTACCTACAAGTGAGATCATGCGGTGTTTATCTTTCCGTGCCTGGCTTATTTCACGTAACGTGGTGTTCTCCGACTACATCCAGGCTGTCACAAAGGACAGCATTTCCTTCTTTTCTCACTGCCATGTTCTCTGCAGCATTGTTCTTGAGCCTCAGGTGGGCATGGAACCCAAGTCTGCAGGTGCTGCCGTGGTCCTGCAGGGACTGAGAGGCCGGGTCTACAGGTGCTGACCTGGAGTCTGGGGTGCCGGGGCCGGCAGATTCACCAGGGTGGGCCTGGTGCCTGCGTCCAAGGCGAAGGCTGCTGCTGCTGCCTGGACTTGGCAGATGAGTGACACTGGTAATGTAAAAGTGTCCCTCCCTCATCAGTGAGTCTTTGCTTATTTCTGTGCTATGCCAACGTGCTACAAGCTCTCACCTGGTTCTTAGCTCTTGTGAGGTATTTTCATGCACAGATAGTTATTCTAAATGATGTTTCTACAAGGGGACAAGCGCCGAAAAGTCCTATTCCACTATCTTGCTGATGTCACTCTCAAGAGCACCTTCTTGGTGTCAATGCCACTTACATAATCTGTGCTGTCCTATAAAACACAATGCAAATGATCCTTTAAAATGGCTGGGCTCTGGGGCTCCTAGACAGAGCACCCCTTCCTGGGTGAACCCAAGGCCAGTTGTGGGGTTCGCACCCTTGCAGAAGAGAGTTGAATCCACAGAGATGGGAGTTCTGGGAGAAAGTCCCCACACGCTGGTCTACGTGAGCCAGCTCCGCCAAAGCCACAGATGCTGACAGCTACCGTGAAGAAAGGCATTTTCGCTTGTCAAGCATCCTGTCTTCAAAAATACGCCTCTCCGTGCTGAGGAGGAAAACATTACGAAGCAGTTTCTTTTGACAGATCATTTCCCACTTAACACAATAGCCAGTAGTCTCTTGGAGGCTCAGCGAGCAGAGAGCTGAGTGAGTATTCAAAAACAGAGCCCCCAGGTTGCAGGATCCCCAGAGCTGGCCCAGGAATGGCAGCTGCCATCTGGCGTTGAGGGGACAGAACCAGGAACTCGGGCACATCCTCAGTTTCCCCTCATCTTTCTCATGCACGAGCAGGTGCCTGTCACACCATGACATACTCTTCGTCATGCAACAGTGTCTGAAAGCCACTCCCCAGCTCTCAGTGACATGAGGGACTTGTCACCCTTCCGTGTGCAGCCACGTGTTATTACAGCTGTCTCTCAGAAGGACCACTTCTGGGCAACTGGATCACTTGGGAATAGCAGCTTCAAGTTGTGGTGTAGTTCACTCTGTCTCGCTCAGAAGATCGTAAGCAATGCGTGTTTCAACAAACAGGTGTGAGAGTTCCTGAGCGTTGAGTCTGCTCCTCTGTTTGAATCCTTGCATGGGCTCAGGTATGAAAGACATCTCTGGTTGCTTGTGACTAATGCTCACCAAAGAAATCTTTGAAACAGCACCACCGTTCCTTGATACAGTTCTAATCCAATACCATTACAATAAAATGCTATCATTTGCACTTACTATGGATTTGCCGCATGCCTGCCATTTCGCTGGATATAATAAAGTCTACAGAGTAGACTCTGCCTGTGGAGTAGAATTTATTACTACTATTTGATTAATGAGGCCCGGTTGACTAGAATTCTATAACCGTATACAACACATTCAAGAAAAATAAGAACACGACAAGGAAATAAAGTACCCTAACACCATAAGCATAGATATTTGTTAAGAGGGTGACTGATAACAAAGATTTGATTCAAAAATAATTACCTTCTGAAGGAGAGTAACTGCTGAATGAGTACAAGCTTCCCTTTGAGAGTGATGAAAATATTTTGGAACTAGATAGAGGTGGCGGTTATACAGCATTGGGATTGTACTAAATGCCACTGAAATGTTAGCTTTAAATTGAAATGGTCTGTTTTATGTTATGTGAATTTCACCTCCATAAAAAAAATTATTATTTTCCATACCATGTGCTGGTGCACTAGGGACGGAACAAATTGAGTCACATCCTCACAAAGCCATGCACCAGGGGTTGGGGTGGTATTTGCAAGGTAAGACACAGCAAGAATGAGTCACTAATGGAAGATTAGTGTGTGTTCTTCACACTCTCCTAAGACAGGAAAACCAATGAAAACATGCTTAAGGTTTTCAGCAAGAAAAAGTGTTGCACACAGAGGGTTGTTTTCTACTTAAGACCCTGTTAACAAGAAAATCTAATTAGCCAAAGCAAGCCACATCTCACCAGTGCTAGCAACATGTGTTTCCCTCGTGGTTTTTGGTCAGCTTATGTCCTAAACTCTTCATGGGGAAAAAAATGAAATAATAATGAACTTTTCATAAAGAAACACATTATTTGAGTGTTTGGGTTTGCTAAAGTGATTAGGAGTAACAGCAAGTTAGCAACCTTGACGTGGCACTGTCTTAAGTAATGTTAGTTGCTCTAGTAAATTATGGAACCTGGGTAGGTCACGGGGACTCCCCCCACTCCAGATTTTGTAGCCAGAGTGCGGTCAGAATACAGGTCGGAAGTGCAGGTGGCCTGGGGTCCGCTGACACCAGCTGGCATCTGAGGCAAGGGCGAAGTCCTAGAGGGCTGGGTCCCTAACTTGTCAGTCCAAGGTAACTCCAGGAGGTCAGCATCAGAACTGAACTGCACACACCCCACCAGGGGGGAAGCACCTGTTTCAATTCCTTCCCCCAACACAATGAATAACACCCTCAATCCGGTGAAATCCTGACAGTTTTAACTTTGTGAGCTCAAACAGGAAAACCTCCCTTGCAACCTAACTGTGCAATTTATGTTCATAATTAGGAATTTTGACATATTCCTAACCCCATTTTTGGCTCTTTTTTTATTCACACAGAAGAAATATTATTTCTATTCCTGTGAAATTAGAAATGTAGGTGGGTTTTCCAGTCTATTTTTCCTCTCATGATTGGTTCCAAATTTTTCTGCTGGAAAAAATTCCTTAGAATTTAATTAAGGCTTTCTTGATGTCTTGGCTTTTTTTGACAGCCAAATCTAAAAAATAGATGAATCAATTTCTGGAAATTTTGAAAAGTTTGCCTGTATATTAGGAGCCTTTACGTATATCAGAGACAGTAGCAAAAAAATATATAAGAAAAGGCCAAGTTTTAAGAAGAAGACTGACAGATTTGCTAAAAAACATAACCAC